CTAAAACCCAATTTTATAGAGAATACGCAAGTCGATAGAAACTGACAAAACAGCCATCTTCCTGAGTAGGGTAAAAGTTTGTAGGAAATTGGGTGGAAGCTACTCCTGACTGAAGAATAGGCCAAATGAAAGGAAAAAGGAAGAGAGGGAGGCTTAATTTGGGCTCATAATCTCACCTAACTCATAAACATGACATGCATACAAGGGACATGTGAACACACACCCAATCACACGTCAACATTGTAGGATCCAAATCTAGTATAATTGTATAAAGAGCCTTTATCTTCATTGCAATTTTTTAATGGATGCCTACGGACATTTCAGACAGACAGACTGTGAGCCGATTTCCAACTTACTATCGCCTAAAATTTCCAACGAAACGAAGCCAGTAAAATGGCCTTCAAATGGCTTCAGATAAGTGAAGACCTTTTTCTGACAAACTGATTGATCATTACTGACCACTCTTTTCGAGTAGTGCTTTTGACGGGACTGGCACGGATGTCGTCAGCCTCATTTCCCACGAAATACGGACTCACTAAGACGCCCAACCTGTTGTTTCAAGGGTCATGATGGAGTAGGTACTTGCCAGTATAGCGGTTGATACAGGCGAGACCGCAGGCCTGAGGAGCAATAAAACTCGGCGAGTCTGGTCGATCCTTTAGCGGGGGCTAAAAAAGTACCAAAAGTGGATAAAAGAGGAAGCTACACAGAATTGGTCTGCGCCCGTGGTCGTGGGTTGAGGGAAGTTGATATTTTGCAAAAATGCCCGCTGAACAACAAGACCACACTTTGATGCGATCGGTATACCTGTTCGATCCCGACAGGAGGAGGGGGAAGGTTGGACAATAAAAATTCTGCAATGGAACCTCAAAGTGGGCCGAACTACAGCGGCAGAAGCTAGGCTGCTGGAAGGCCGAGATTGACTGTGGTTTCGGAGCGATTTTAAACAACCTATCCCTTTCTCTGATATCTGCAGGTACTGGCATGCCTTCTTCCAACAGCTGCCCACCATCAACTGAGTACAGCTCTACAGGTTTGGTAGATCTCATGGATGTGACCCATGAGAGACATCAGTCCTAGCCACCATATACAAATCGCCATAGTGACAAGTTAAGGCCAATTTTTGAGTCAACGATTTTGGCATTTCTCCTCAATTGCACAAAATATGTGCAGAAAAATTGGTTTTCCAAAAATCTATTCATAAGTTTTTCAATTCCTAAACGTTCATTTTTAGTGAAAGTTAGTGATCGATCTCACCTGATCTTGGCAGGTTCATAATGTTGAGCTGTCCTAGAGGCTATGGATCTAAAGGTCAGAGAAATATATATTCCTGATTGATAGACTCTACGATAAACCGAAGGTAGAACCCGCTTCAAAAAAAAGGGCGACTACTAATATATCTGCTTTGTTCTGATTATTCGGTATTATCACTTTTTTGTACCTATACACATTTTCAAATACACACTCACACTCACATACACCAATGCGCCTTAATATAGACAGATATCGTATGGAAAGAATCAGGTAAAATTATGTTCATATAGAGCAGGTTCTTCTTAGCTGGATAAGGTCAATTTATAAGATGTGTCCATGCTATTTCCTATAAAGAGGTTAAAAGACGGGTACTCAATTTTTCCCACAATGATATGAGTATATATGAAATTTTCGTTGAATTTCACATGACAATGTAGCGTGTAATCTCTACACGTTAGCCACGAGGGCCCTTAGGTCACTGGGCAAATGTAAATTTCAAGGAAGACCAGGCATTTTTCCATATCGCATTCTGTGTTGGAATTGTCAATAAAACAAACTTATATTTGCTATGGCAATCGACGACGTCACTTATTTGTCATTTGTAAGTGGGGTTTCGAGACATCTCATTTATCTGATTAATTGGTAATCTCAAAACCCCACTTAAAAATGAAAAATAAATATTGTCGTCGATTCATGTAGCAAATATAAGTTTGCTTCATTAATAATATCAACACATAAGGTGATATTTGAAAATGTCTGGTCTTCCTTAAGATTCACATTTGCTCTGTGACCCAAAAACACTCGTGGCTGACGTGTAGAAATCACACACTACACTATCATCGTTCGACTCCCGCTATGGGCGTTGATACGACCAAGGCAAGGCCGACACTGCATTCTACACCTTTTGGGCAAGCAAGTCAATCTGAAATTCAATTGCAACGTCATATATACTCATATAAATGTGGGAAAAAGTGACTATCAGACCTTCATCACCCTAAACGAAATAGGATGAGCACATCTCACATACTTGATTTACTTATAGCCTCGAAGCCCTACTTACAAATGCAAAATAGGTTCCGTTTGTTAAGGTGTTATCAACTTTGCTGGAACTAGAGATGAGAATGGGCAGAGTACATGGCTGAAAATTGACATCAAATAGAATGGAATAATGTGGAATGTCTGTTGCAAAACGTAAAATGAGGGGAGCCATCTAAATCAACAGATTTGGCGACACAACAATTGTGGGTAATAAGAATGGGAAAATAGACAATAAATTCTTATTCATGATCGACGAAAGGTTAGGTCATTTCTAAAAAAGAGCTCTACTCTACTAATATATTCTCGACCTTTGCTCTAAGTGATGCTACATTTGCTCGACTTATGCCAAGAAAACTAATAATTAATCTTCAATGACCCTAGGACAGAAGCTTCTGCTTTTTTTCCATTACCCTGTATTATCATTTTATTTTCGTGTGCTTACATATGTGAAGAAACACACATATATATATGTGCTTTAATATCGTAGGACAATTGTGACGTCATTCTATATTCAGAATAAGAGCTGTATTTGCCCATGTTTACATAAAGCGATGATTGCTGAATTTATCAATAAAAATTTGCTATTGAAATCAATCACATTACTTATATCCAAACTGAGTAGGCTTCGAAGTGTCTATTACATCTAGAACAAGAACAGTCATTATAT